ACACATACATAGCAAAATTTGTATGAAATGAAAAGATTTCCATGTCCTGTCAGTTTCGCTATGTGTGTGCTAGACTAACTTCCTGTTTTGAATACACATACTCGCATGACAACATGACTTTCAAATGAGGGGTATTTTCATTAGCATGTCAACATGCTCGTGTAAACAACATAATATTTTTTTCATAATACCTACATGAACATATCAGTATGACCAAATAGGAATATGAGCAATGTGAGACTTGAGGTCATATTTTTGAGCATCCACAGACATCTCTAATCAATTTCCTCTCTGACACAAAATCTTTTGTACTCGGCAAGAACTCTCCCATCTCAGTCTTGTTCCTTACTTCTCTTTCTTACTTCAAATAAAAGTTTTATGGCACTTGCAACACAAATATAGGCAATATAAGTCTGGAAGTTAAGATGTTACTTGAGAGTAACATACAAAGAAAAGGAGGAAGAGAGATAAGGACGACAGATGTTCGATCTATGACAGAAGAAACAAACCAAACCTGAACGCCCACCAACCACCCTCTTAGTAGCCTTGTTCAGACTGAGCAAGTTTTCTCTTGTTCTCATAAACGTATAAAAAAAAGTAAGTCCCATTCAAGTTAAAAGATATTGAGGATTTTCTGTATCCCGTATCATTTACAAAATCTTTGTGGTTTGACTTGCCATCACCTGCCCATCTGAACCATGAGGAAGGTTGGAGGGCACAATTGGTAGGACTGACTTCCTCATCATCCCTCTCTTGGTTCTGTCCGATTTTCTCTTCCCATGGCGCTCGCATGACCTTATGCAGTTGCGAGCCCCGAAAAACTCTACTAAACTAAGCTTCTTTTCCCCAAGTTCTGAATCTGAATGGCCATGGCCACAACTGTGTTTCTATGTGCCTTTCTTCTTTCACCTTTGAGCAACACTCGTAGAGTCGTAGTACACGAAACAAGCAACGCGCCTCCTGTCGTACAGCTCACAACATAAGTAACACACCTCATATTACCCAGCTCACAACATAAGTAACACACCTCATATTACACAGCTCACAACATAAGTAACACACCTCATATTACACAGCTCACAACATAAGTAACACACCTCATATTACACAGCTCACAACATAAGTAACACACCTCATATTACACAGCTCACAACTTTAAAGTGACACACCTACTCCCACAGCACAGCTCACAGCATGAGCAACGCACTTCTTCATATTCATACAGCTAATAACATACGCAATACGTGTCTTCGTATTCGTACAACTTGCAACATAAGCAACACACATCTTCATTCATACAGCTCACAACATAAACATCACACCTCTTTATAAACTCACAACATAAGCTATACACCTCTTTATTCTTACAATTCACAACATAAGCAACACGCGTCTTTATTCATACAATTCACAACATAAGCAACACGCGTCTTTATTCATACAATTCACAACATAAGCAACACACGTCTTTATTCATACAATTCACAACATAAAGCAACACACGTCTTCATTCATACAATTCACTAGATAAGTAACATATCTCCTCTTACACTACAGCAAAAACCATAAACAACTCACTTTCTCATACAGTACATAACATAATCTCATCTCATCTTATTAATTAAAGTGAACTATGGTACTGTACTCTTTAAGTCAAACTTCCTGAATAACAAAATTTCTAAAGAAAAACGTAATGGTTGAAATCAGTACCTTTCATTCTCGGCATCAGTGACGCTTCTACCATCTCAAGCAAGTACTGTGGCTTCAAATTATGTAAAATTAGAAACTTGGAAACAAATAAACAGGTCTGTTATTTAATTAGCAGGTCTCTTTGAGAAGTAAGCACCCTCTGCTGTAAAGACATGATAAGTACAAGGTACAACTTAGTACAAGTCAAAGACGGAAAAACTTGACTGAGTTTGATTTCACGCACCACAACTGGATAAGATGTAATTGATCAAACCAATGAAATTTTTAGTCATAGCAGATTTTAAGCAGGG